ATAGACAAATCTGAAAAGTGCCCAAAATAATCTAATTCTAGGAGAAAACAATGAGGTGATGGCTACTATTCAAAATTTCATGTGATGTCTTGTATAAGAGAATGTAACTAGGAAAGATGGGTATCTATACTTATATAATAAGAATTAACATTTATCCAAAATAGTAGGTTAAATTATGGTCAATGTCGGATTTGCATTAAATATTTTTCAAAACGGGTAAGTTTTTGTTCTTTTCACACTTCTCATTAATTATGTCATTTTCACATTTCTCATTAATTATGTTCTTTTCACACATCTAATTAAATCATTCCATATGAGCTTTTATCGTTAAAATGTATAGCGATCTGTTATGACCTTATCCCATTGATATTTCCATGAAGCGTCCTTATCGCGTTCTATTTTTTGGTAACCACTCTATATCAATAACCGGATATTTGGTTAATGATAGCACACGTCTTTATTTGATATTCTTTGACCTTTAATTAATCTGAACTGATTGCCTTGACTTTTCAATTTTTAAAAACTCTTTTTTTAAAAACTCTTTTTTTTATCGCACGTTGGTCTTTTCCTGAAGAAACCCGTTTTTAGTCATGGCCAATTATATGTTGCTGCTTCGCGTGTAAATAATAGAAGGGGGTTGAAAATATTAATTTGTGATAATGAAGAGTTACCAAATAATCAAACTCATAATGTTGTGTACAAGGAGGTTTTTAATAATTTATGATTGTTATCGAATTTTTTATGATTCAACAATGTTCCTATATATTTTAATGATTTCAATTTCGATCCTAATGCACGTGAGATTATATTATTCTTCCAAATTTTACATCACGGGTTACGTACTAGTTTGTCTTAATGACGACTGTTGAGATTTTTTTCTTTTTTGGCTCATTGCATTTTAAATTTTTAGGTCTATTTTAGGTTTTGTATTGTTTCCAAATTAAATGGATGTGACCTTTTTTTTTCCTCTTATATATTTAACTTTTGTAAGCTTGCAATATTATGTTCAAATATACAAATCTATCCCAATTGAATGAATTAATCTTCTTTTCTGAAAAAGAAAAAAAATAGGAAAGAAAAAATTACGTACTAATTCTTTGAATTAAAGTAATTTTTCTAAGAAATATGATTATATAAATTGTATGGTTATTTTCTCCAGTAAGACCGATAAAACTTATTTCAAAATAATTTATATAAGAAAAAATTATATCAAAGAAAATTTAGTGATTATGGTCATTTTCTCCCGTAAGACCGATATAACTTATTTCAAAATGATTTATATAATAAAAAATCTATCAAACGGAATTTTGTGATCCTAGGCTCCTAGCACCAAATTTTTAAGGGTGCCATTGGACTAATCCAATTCAAATTTAACCAATCAAATCTACATAATAATTTTAAATTAAAAATTTTAACTCAAAATTCAATTCAAATGTAACTCAATTTAATTTCACTCAATATTATCAATATAATTAGAATATTAATCAATCATCTTTACATGTCGCATCAATAAAATTTACTATTTATTCACTCATGTATTTTTAACTAACATTCATATTCAATTATTAGTCTGCTACTTTTACATAACATTAACTTTAATCATTACATTTTAACTCATATTCAAACACAAATTCAAAATCTAATCTAAAACTCCACACATTACTTTTTTTTCAGCCTTGATTCACCTTACTCAATAAATCTAAAATCAAATCCAAAAAATTCATATTAATCCCACCCTAAATGTTTCAAGTACACAACAAATTAGCATCTCCAATGCTCAAATGTTGTTGTGGTAAATTATATGTCACATCAACATATTAGTAATATCACAAATTTCCATCCTCTAATGTACAATATGATCACAAATGTTGCGGTGATGTAGACATAATTAACGTCTACAATGTAGAGAAGAATGTGGTTTATCCACATTCTCCTTCACACCTCAGCTACCCAATGAAAAAAAAAAGAGAGAGAAGTATTCTTACCATTTTCAAGCTATTTAATTATTTTATTAATTTTTAACTTTTTATTAAAATTTTAATAATTGGTAAGTAGATAATATTGTAGTTAGACTACATTATGCATTGGAGAGAATTTTTAAATTTCATAGTTGTGAACTTAACATTATTCCTATATGGTTCACAATCTATTTAACTTATTGACATTTGTCATAATTTAATCTATAACAATATTAGAGCATCGGTGCCTCCAATATTTTTTATTCATTTGACTTTTTTTTTTGTAAGAAAAGGAGCAATTGCGAATGACAACAAATTAGAGATATGAAATGGCTAGTATTTAGGTGTCTACTTTTGTTTTTACATATATAAACAGCAATTTTATGGTGTTGGGGTCCACCACAACGTATCAACTTTAACGGCTCATGGAGTAAATATAAATATAAATATAAATATAAATATATATAATTCGAACCGAGACAATTGTACAACTACTACGGAGGAAACTCGCTCAGTAGGATTAAGTTTAAGAATACAAAGTGATTTAAATTGGGGTCTTTTTACCAAGTCCAATTTTTATACTTCAATTTTAGGATAAAACGGAAAAATAATTATTTACAAACTAATCAAAAGTTATTTATCTCCAGTTGGTTCATTTTTTAAAATTTAACATTTGAAATATTATTTTAATTTTAGAAATTACATATTAGCAATATTTCAGTGAATTATTTGTGAATTACTCTTAGGTCCGATTGACTAAATACAAGTTATTCCATTTAAAGTTTTGTAAGGGCCAAAAGAATAACTTTTGATACTTAAAAAACATTATGAATAATANAAAAAAGGAAAGAAAGAGAAAAGAACAAATATAAATAAAGATGTTGAAATATAAAAGTTTGTTTATTCCATAGTTAACCATTCATATCCACGGTCAGATACTCATCACATGACAATTAATATAATTTTATATAATGGAAAAAGCTATAACACTTTTGCTTATAAATTTAATATTTACTTTCCGCAATTATCTTTAAAGCTATCGTCTCACGACATTGAAAACTTGAAATAATTAGCATGCTACTTAATGCTTAAAGTTTTAATTATAATTTATATTTATTATACCACTTCATTTTGAAATTTATAGATTATTTACCAGCTGTTATAGAACTGCTTAATATGACTTGTTTCAATAGCATTTCAACTGTTGTGAACCCCAAAAATGGCGTCGTTCTAAAGGTAAGAACTCAAAAAATATCTCTAGAGTAGATTAAAACAATCCAAAATCACTTACCAAGACTTGACAAACCTCAATTTCCAATCAACAACGAACGATGATGAGCGTCAGCAACAGATCTGTACAATTAAACACACAAAAAAAAAATAAATAAATAAAATAAAATCAAGGTTACAAAATGCATGTACAAATACAAATATAAAAAAGATTGAAATATAATTACCTAAAAAACTAAAACATTGGAGTTTACAAATTGGATGTACAAATATAAATATAATAAAGAGTGATATATAATTACATAATCGAAGTTGTACCAGTTTATTTCTCACAAAATTAGAATGGATATATGTTTTAATCGAATAAATTAATTAACGAGAAACAAAATAAAAATGAATTTGAGAATAGTTGGGTACCTCTAGTGAATTGATTCGTAAGACTAAGTGACGAATGTAAGGTTGAGCACATGCTCTATATATATAACATAATATAGGTTTAACCTAGGTAGAGCTTAACTCAACTATGGTTAATAATAATATTTTAGCTTAACCATAGCTAATTTTCTCAAGCTTTTCAAAACTAATTTGCCAAAAGTGTTTGGTCAATATTTATTGTATCCATTATGTATTAAATGAATCATACATTCTTTTATAAAAAACAATTTTTTTGTAATCTTCCAACTTTTGTAAATTGTATTTGAGTAACTTCATATACTTTTTCTATAATATTGTTATAATTTTATATTTACGTATTTGGCATTTGTTGTTACTGGTTCTCATTATACATGTTCGCTTTTTCTTGTAATTAGAAAAAAAGGAACTTTTTTCTAACCATTCTAATTATTCTNAAAACATTCAAAATTGTCAATTGACTCTTAAATATTAAAAACCCGGAGAAACAAAAAGTTTATAACTTAATTAACCGATGAGTTTTTTAATCAAATTTTGATATTGGTTTAGGTCTTTTGAATCGCATGATGAGACGGGAAAAAATGACGTATGAATTATCAAATTTATGAGATATGCATTATTGAATTTCTTTGATTGAGTTGAAAGGTGATTTAAATTTTGATATTGGTTTAAGACTTTTGAATTCCACATGAGGTATACATTATTGGATTTTGATAACTGAGTTGATAGGCCGAATCAAATTTTAATATTGGTTTAGAACTTTTAAATTACATGATGAGAAATGAAGTATAAATTACGATTTCATGAGGTATGCATTATCGAATTCTAATAATTGAGTTGAAATGCTGAATCAAATTTTGATATCGGTTTCAGATTTGAATTTCATGATGAGAAATGAAGTATTGAATATCGAATTTATAAAGTATGCATTATATTGAGTTGAAACACTTTACAATATGGTTTTGGTATAGAGATGGATTTGATGAAACTGAATGATTGTTTTTAGTCATCCATAAAATAATTATATATACATATATATACAAATATATCAATTTGTGCACTCTGATCATTTAGTGGCACATAATAATGAGAAATGTTATAGTCTCGTTATGGAACCATCTCGTCCGGTATTTTAACCGTTAGATCATCTGTCTTATATTAACAACATGCGTATCCCACGGTTAAAACTCTCGACAGATGATTTCATAACGGGACCGTAGCTAAGGATCCGATAAGTCCAACATTGATTCCCTCAGATGTGTCAATTGGGCAAATACAACCATAGTGACTAGGATGGATATCTCGTATTCGAAAACTAGCAGTCCGCTGTTAGTCTTCCAGGACCTAGATAACTCAATTTTCTACCATGAACTATTTGTGCCAATAGATTAATTCGATTTAAAACTTGAGATAGGGGGTGTAAACCAAAAAATGATTCATAAGTGGTTGTTAATGGCGTTGGGGTTACCAAATTCTGAGGAGTCACCAAATTCTGAGAAGTCGGTATCAATTTGATTTCATAACGGGACCGTAGCATTTCGCATAATGTAACTATCATTTGAACTCTTTTGCGTATAACAAGTAAACAACTCGCAAGTGAAGAAAACATTAAACAAATCGACATCGTCAAGAGTCCGAGGTGGGCCTATAGTTTAAGTCGTATGATAATTTCAAGCTGTTATTACAAATCCACCCACAAGATTTGGCCCGTTTAAAACACATTTCCTTTAAAAAGATCAGAGCCATTTACCTCCAGAAACTGATCGATGGATCCTGGTGATACAAATCGTGAAACATACTTAAATTTTTGCGTTCATGCACAAGATTTTGCTGACTATATGTTTTTCATTTTTTTTTCGGCGAGAAAACAACAATTACCTTTAAAAACATCCTAGCCACTCAACTTTAGAAAGTATAAACTGATCTGTAGATCTTGCTGATACAAACTGAGAAACATCTCCAAAATTTTGTTCCAACTCTAGAATATTTAACATCACTGTAACAAAAGAGGTTAACAATTCAAAACATAAAACCACCTGCGACAAAAACCCGGTGGAGCCAAGTCTTGTCGGCCAGCCAAGAGACTGCACAGGACTCGGAAGGAATCCTCATCCACATGGAAGATAAACTGAGATGTGGGCCATGCACAAAGCAACGTAAAAGATTCCTGTTTCGTTTGTCCTACTCTCGATTTCTATTCCTTTCCAAACCACATTCCTTCCTTGGGAAGTGGGCCCCAAACACACACATCAAAATGCAAATGGCAGGACCCACTTCTCGTCAGGAGATAACAGACTGCGAATCCAAATTATTATCATTACTACACTTCTTGCTCGAGTTCAGCTGTTGCGCAGGCGGCCGGTGACTAGGCTTTTTAATTCTTGACAGCTCAGCAGGCCGAGGTATCTGGTGAGCCATAAATGGCTTTTTGCAGTCCATGCAGCTAAGGACACTGTTGCGGTACATCACGTGATACTCGTACTTAACCTTGCATTCATGGCACATGGTCCAAAAACTCTCGACTTTTTTCGGAATGGGTGAAGGAGCAGGGGCTGACTTGGCAGCCACAGTCTTTGATCTCTTTTTCGGCATTTTTGGAGCGGGAGGCTCTCTCTTTCCAAGCTTTGGTGCCAGCGGGCCACCATTTTGGGCCTGGCGGCTGGCAGTTCTAGGCCCACCAGCAGAGGGGCCCACACTAGTCTGTGCAGGAGGTTTTGGGTGGGACACCTTAAAACCCGCGATTTGGTGATTATAGGCCAACCTCTTGGCTTTATCCGACAGAAGACTCCAAGCCTCAGAAATGAGCTTAAACGCGCCATCGGCACCGGACAAGGGGTTTTTGTCGGGGTGAAGAAGAAGAGCCAATTTCCGGTACTTTTTCTTGATTGTCTCGTCATCGGTCGTGGGGTCCACGCCAAGCACCCCGTACCAATCGACCAGCGTATTTATCCTCCTCTCGGCAGACAAATACACGTCTAGGGTTGTTAGCATTTGGGAAATGCCGTCAAGCTGTGGATAGAGAGCTTGGGCTTTCAGTGCAAATTTTTTGGAGCCAGCGTAGTCCCTCTGCTCAAACTTTTTCTCAGCTATTGTTTTTGCTCTTACGGCTTCGTCTTTATTGCACTCCATGTTTTCTAAATCTCGGTTTAGATTACGGACAATGCTGCCAAACACCTGATTTGGTAAAAAAAAAATGGGCGCAAAGTTAGTAAAACAATAACTGAAAAAATCAAGTGACAGGAAAGGTATCGAAACGAACACGTGAATATTGTGGGACTGTAAGTAATTATTTCAGACTAGGTTACCTAAGGAGAACTATGTTACAGAATGCTAAATATAATAATCTAATTCAGGATAACGTGAGGCATGATGCCGAAACAGGAAGTTACATAACAGTGGAACTAAGCACAAAATAGAAACTAAGTGCAGCCATAACCATCACAAATAGGTATAGATGAACGTACAAGTATAAAAAATAGATAGCAACCTTTACAAAACACTTGAAGCCTGAGCAACATATATACTTCTGAAATATGTCTTAACCAAATGTATAATCATAAACCATCATCTAAAGATCCATGCACAATGAACTGGCCCTAAACACAATGGTTATAAACACAAGCTGAACCAATAGTTGTAAAATAAATTAAATCAAATTGAAGAGAATCATACATACAAATTTAGGTATTGTTTATTCCACTGCTAATGAACTCAAACCCACTGTTATGCAAATGTCCAGAACAAACATTTCTAAGTGGTTGTAAAACTTAAAACGAGTAACTGATAGACTTCTTTACCGATGGTGTTTTACCTTATTCTTACCATCCCTACATAATCAGCACCATGTTTCAATTTCATATAAGGTACTGAAAACTAGGTCTATCTGAACATCTTACACTGTTGCCTGGGGGATATATTATGATTTAAATGACATGATAATTGTGAAAAGGAAGTATCATTTCAGTATTATACAAAATTTTAGCACCCACAAAAGGAAAGAAGAGTATTCAAGATGGGGATGATCAAGCATCTTTCATTTTGCTTTTAGATTTTCTACATTTTACATAGACGTAAAATATTAATTATAAATGACATTTACTATGTCAGCGCACTCTGAACACTTGATAACCAGTTAAAAATCTGTCAAAAAGGATCTGTTTCAGTTTTGAACACATTTAAATAACAGCCGATTAACACCATTGACAGATAACATGGTTTTTCAATGGATGCAGTGTTATTGATGGCGGTTGGCAGAAAATGGTGCTAGGCTGAAATGCCACCACACAAATTTCAAATGGCTGTTAGGCAGAAACCTGCCATGCCATACTGCCATGACAGAAATTTGATGAATAGAAGTCGACACGAAGCAGTTTTTCAGAAGGGATGTGAAAGCCAGAAAAAGTAAAAAAAGGTGGGCATTTCAACACGTGCCGATAGGTTGATACAGAAACTTTCTAATTTTGCAATAGAATCTATAAACTAAAACAGATAAAGAAAGACAAATATTTTCAAACAAGTCAATAACGGTTGACTCAATATAGTTTTAAATTTTAGGCAATAAATCGATCAATCTACAGAGTTAAAAAGATAATGTTTCTTCACCTTTAACAATAACAGTAAACTTAAAGCAGCTTTTAAGTTCACATACGAAATCCACCAAGTTCACGAGTAACTGAGTTAATACATTGCACCGATATTAAACAAAAAACTCAAAACTCTGCAGCTAAACACATCCAAAGTCGATTTATTTTCCATTTACATCGAAGACTACACCACATAACAATGCAAAAAACAAAGTTCAAGCCAAAAAGGGAAAAGGTACTAGGCCATAGTTACTAACAGAAGCAAAGAGCCAGATGCGCACGCAGTCATTAAAACATCATCAATAAGAAAAACCCTAATCGCGCCATAAGCTTTATTACCCAGACGCAGACAAAAGAAAAGAAACTGGACTCAACACTTGAGCTTAAGCAACTACAAATAGTAGAAAACAGTCCAAAGCCAGTTCCAAACATCAGAAACATACCTGAAACCACCAAAACACAGAGCGCTACCTCCGGATCTGTAT